AATCTGCCTATACTTCTTAAACGGGCGGCTGTGTCCGTGGAAATACTATGACATAATCCAAAGAATGGTAGATATTTACGCTGAGGGCCGATAGTAAGCAGCCCAAGTAATTGTATTAGTTATACAACGCTCATTCGGCTGCTAGACTTTGTTAGTTCCAGAAAAATGATGGATGTTTATTGGTATTGACGAACTATGAGAAATTACTGCTTTATCATCTGATTTCTTGATACCATCAGTTAAATCCAATGAAAGCATACTCAGCATGTTACTAAACATGATCCCGGCTATACGCAGTTTCACTGATGTCTACTTCAAAATGTGCGCTGGGCTTAGAAAACTGGTACATATACATATATGATATATAATACATATATTAGTTCAAGTAGGGATGGCATTTGTGTAGCGAATGTGGCAACTGTCACAGCGAAATGAGCAGTGAATTTGATAGAATTCATGTTCAAACGTCCCGAAAAAACACTTATCAGTCATTATCATGCTGGATCGCCCACCATCAGCGTCCCCGCGCAGTCCCCTATGACACAGCTAGAAATAACTTTTCACTGTTACTGTGAAGGGCGCAACGAATCTGGCGGTAGCTATACACTGACCCTCCTTTTCGGCTCTCATCAGTCCTTTTCACATTGATCACCCATCATTTTTGTCTCCGTCCAGCCCGCTATTAGACTCAAAAATCCAACTCCCACCATTGCTGCGACGTGTGCTAGGAACTTCATGAAACACAAATACACAAACAGACAGACATAGCGTTTAATATACAGGGGGGGGCAAAAAAAAGACATTTTGCCTATGTCGGACTTCGGCTCTTTTTTCTTCGCAGAGATTGCCGTCGTTGACGGGAGTTCCTCAGCAGAGTATTCCCTAAATGTCCCTCTATAAGTGAACGCAGGCCCTCCTTCACTGCCCTCACCGTCTTCAGAATATGACGTCATCTGTCACCGTCGTCAGGCTCAAGGAGGTCTACCGTAAGAGCTTCAGCCTGAAGCTCTTACGCAATTTCGTGAATCGATAGTTTTCTAGAGGCATTAGCTACCACTGTGCAAATCCCCTCGGAACTAGCTTTCCAGTAAGGGTCGTTATGGTACACGATCCTTCGAAGACCCCATTGAGCTCGACCAGTGCACCATGTTTCCAGGGCAAATTCTTCTGATGCCGTCCACGTAGGTGGCCACCATAAAGATTTTCTTATAGAATGGAATGCGCTTTTAATAATAAGTTGGGACCATTCGGTCTGAATTGAGCAAAATGTGCTTAAATCCATCTGGAAGTGGAGACAAAATGTCTTTTTTTTATTGGCCCCCCCCCATAGTAGGGTTACATGAAAGGGTCGCAATGAAGTGTTGTAGTCTGTTAAGCGTACCAGTGGATCTCGAGCAGAAAAGTCGTCAAGGCTGATCTGCTGCGCACCGATGCCGCCAGCAACAGCCGCTCCCCAACCGGAAATTTCGGTGATCTTCGGAGTTTTGATGACCTTTCCAATAATTTCTGCTTGTATTTCATTGAACAGCATATTAGCGGTCATTCCTCCGTCAGTCTGAAATTTGCGATGGATCTTTTTTGTTCAAGCAGAACAAGCTAAACTAAAGAGAGACTTACCTTCAGGGTATGGACCAAGTCACTGTCGCCAAGATCTTCTTCCACAGCTTTTATCATTTCAGCACTCTGATATGCTACGGCTCGAAGGGCAGCGAGGCAGATATGAGCGCGATTCGTGACCTGAACCTATCCACGTCCGCAGAAATCTTTATTAAAATAAATTCGTTACCTGTGTAAGGCCAAGAATTGTTCCTCGAGCTGTTGGGTCCCAATAAGGAGTGTAAAGGCCGGTGAAACATGGCACGAAAATGACACCTTCTGTGGTTTCTACTGAACGACAGATCGACTCCATCTCCGAAGCGTTCTGAGCACAAAAAGTTATGGACATGGGCAGCGTGATTAAATGGGATTGCAACCACAAACCTTTATAAAGTTGAAGTTGTCGCGTAGAAAGCGCACAACATTGCCACCAATCGAACCCGAACCTTCCAATGCATACACGACTGGCGAATCGGGGCCAAACTGAATTGGAGTTAGTTTAGTAATAGGCGGAAAATACACATTCCCTAATTTTGATTTGAAAGAAATATTTTATTTACTCCCAGCCAAAAGATGTTCTGCCACAAACGCTCAGAATGAAACGAAAAAGGAATGGAGGAAATCCGGGCAAATGAAAGGAACATTCAAGTACCAAGACTCAAATGCAGGAGCCACGATAATTCGATGTTGATCAAAAATTAAAGAGGAGCTAGAGCTGGGTGATACGTTAGTGAAGAGGAATCTTCAAAAAAGGTTAAAAGAATGAAAAATGGAACCGACACTGTGCTCAAATTTGGACCTGCCTATGAGCACAACAGCGAATGTTTGAGATGACTTAGCATGTTATCTTGGAATGAAAAGATATGATGCTATGTACATGCTTAAAAAGGTCTTCTTGAGGCAGAGCTTTAGGAGCTTTAGAAGGCTGTAGCTTCTTCCGTGCAATTCTTTGAAAACTGGAAACTAAAGGTGTACTAGGAGATTCATGCTTCTTGACAGATACTGCATTGGTTTTGCACAATTTCTTGTTTGCGAGAAGGTTGCGTCGGGGAAATGTCGAGGAAATTCCCTGACCACTCAAACTCTACTCCTCCTCAGCCGCAGCAAGGAACTTCTTCAAAAAACCTCAACTTGCTTCTGAAAAAGATCTCGATGGAGAAAGCAGGAAGTCACACCCTTGGCGCAGATCCGTTCCGTTTGATATGCGCCATACAGTCAACCCTCTTGGACATTTGAAAGGTGCCTTGTTCATATGACAATTTGCCTGTGCAAAATCAAAAGCTGTTCCCAGACTTGGTTGCTTACAATACCTTACACTAATGAGTAAGAGTATTGTGGAGCCACAAGCCAAGATGATACAACAACTTTATTCGGCTAACGTTTCGGCTTGGTCGCCTTCGTCAGAGCCTGGAAAGTCAAAGATCAGTGCGACCTACCGCAGACATCATTTCAAACTTCGAAATAGTCCCCATAGACCCGTAGCCTCCAGGGGGCGCCATAAACCACAAACACCAGTCAACTCACCTTAGAACGCACGGTAGGATTTTGCTGAGACCACCGCTAGACTGACTCGCTGTGGGTGGCTCCAGATGACCTGGCCCATCGGCATGGAGCCGATGGCGCTCGAAGCCCACAAAGGTCAGCGAAAGGTGCGAGTTCACTGGTTATGGCTAGGCATTCATCTTTCCTGTTAATTTTTGGATTTTTGGCGCTGATCCAAAAGGCCTCCAAAGTTTTGCGCGCTGAGGTGTGGGGCTCTCGCGTCAAGATCCTTACAGAGACCTCAAACTCCGCGCCTCCGTGGCATTGCATCCGATGACCACCCAGGGGGGTCTCAGGCCTTGACTTGTTAGCCCGTCTAGGTGTTCCTTGATCCTGGTGCACAACGGTCGCCCAGTTTCCCCGATGTACTCCTCCCCGCAGAGTGCACATGAGATTAGGTAGACCACACACGATGCCATGCAGTCACCCTCCCGCCCGTTAGGACAGATAACACAATTAGGGGTGAGGCAAGCACGGTCATAACGTTAAACTTTAGAATCCTTTTGGATCAGCGCCAAAAATCCAAAAATTAACAGGAAAGATGAATGCCTAGCCATAACTAGTGAACTCGCACCTTTCGCTGACCTTTGTGGGCTTCGAGCGCCATCGGCTCCATGCCGATGGGCCAGGTCATCTGGAGCCACCCACAGCGAGTCAGTCTAGCGGTGGTCTCAGCAAAATCCTACCGTGCGTTCTAAGGTGAGTTGACTGGTGTTTGTGGTTTATGGCGCCCCCTGGAGGCTACGGGTCTATGGGGACTATTTCGAAGTTTGAAATGATGTCTGCGGTAGGTCGCACTGATCTTTGACTTTCCAGGCTCTGACGAAGGCGACCAAGCCGAAACGTTAGCCGAATAAAGTTGTTGTACCATCTTGGCTTGTGGCTCAGAAGCATATCCAAGAAGACCACACACGATGCCAAGATTCATCGAACGTCGAGCTCGTGTACTATGGTCTCATCAATTCTTCATAGAATACGTTTCCTTTCGGACCCAATTCCGATGAGTAACCCATTTGCGGCTGCGGTATGTGATGATGACGAGAAGGTGGCAAATCCATTTCGAACTTTCTACTGATACCAAACTCTTCCACTAGGCCCTCGAAGGGCTTTCGTTCATTCGCTGTTAAGGCGGTCCATAATTTTTGAGACACTCTGGATGTTTTCGATTTGATTACTTATTTTATTTATCTGACAGACAAAGATAAGATAAGATCTGTCAGATAATTATCTGGGCGGAAGTGGTGTAGTGGCAAGTGGCACGCTTACCACGCGAGCGGTCCGGGGATCAAATCCTGGGTCGTGAGTCGCCCGGGCCAACCAAGCCTTCCATCCCTCCGGGGTCGGTTAATTGGTACCAGACTTGTCTGGGAGGATAAAAACACTGACTTGTACATCGGCTGGCCCCCGCAAGTCATTGTATAGGCCACATCGCATTCAAACGCCACTACGAATGTACAAATGGAAGTAGAATGCGTGCCGCATCCCAAAAAGGGATTGATCAACGGCAAATGCTTTATCCTTTTTTATCCTTTTTATTTATCTAATATTGTATAATATATTATACTAAGTTATTCAAAAATCTC